CTCCCCTCCTATCCTCCCTGAAAATTCGCACGGGTCAATCGCTCTGGGCTATCATCTGTTCTCCCCCCAGCCCAGTTCGCAGTTGTCCCCAGTTCGATTTTCTTCCTCCCTTAATCCTCTTACTTCTTGTCCGTTGCGACGCCCGCTTCACGTTTATTTGCTACTTCTTAACCTTCTTGGCTCGGTCGCTGCAGCGAATTCCTCTCGTTTGCCCCCGTTCTCGCCTCCACCCCCTCCTCCTACCACACTCTTCCGTTTCACTCAACCGCAGGGTCGGCTCGTGACTTTTTCATCGGCTACTAGCAGCCTCTACATCAAAGACATAATAATACAGCTTGGGGACCCGGAAGGTTGCTGCGCGTATTCCCGTCTCCGACTTGGTCATAGTTCGGTTGCATTTTTTCATCTATGGTTGTCTCATAGTGAGTTTTTGTCCTCCCATTCGTTCTCTTCTCTTTCGCCAACGATCAGAGATCGCTGGGAACATGTCAGTCAAGCAGTCACCTAACATTCTCTCAGGCTATCAGATCTGCATCAGTGCTTCACCATGGCTTCTAGACCTCCTCTATCGCCCCCGGTAAATGAGACGGAGCACTCCGTCAGCCGGATCACTCGTGAGGGGAAGAAGCTTACATACAAGCTTACTGTGATGCAACAACCCGAGCGGGCAAGAGCATGCGGTGCAGGCGCCAAATGTACGTCTTTGAACCCGCTTCATATGGATTGTTTGTTTGTGAAGAGACTGACAAAAATTGTCTCCGAAAGCTTCCGCCGACCGTCGTCCGGTTGATCCTCCGCCTGTGGTTGAGTTGCGGATTTTCGAATCGGATCCCAGCGACGACACGCTTTGTACGGACATCACCTTCGCTTATAACGCCAACTTCTTCCTCTACGCCACTTTAGACAACGCACGTCCAATGGCACAGGGTAGACTTGCTCCAGCTCCAACATTCCCCGTCCTCACAGGCGTGCCCGTGGCAGGAGTGGCATATCTTGATCGCCCTTTTCCGGCGGGATTCTTCATCTTCCCGGATTTATCGGTGCGTCACGAAGGACTTTACCGGCTGAGCTTCCATCTTTACGAGGAGACCAAGGAAAGCAAGGATGCGGACGAGGGAGCGCCGATCCCGTCACCAATGCTGAAGACGAACCCATTAAAGCCGATGACACCAAAGTCGTTCCTCGAATTTCGCCTCGAGGTTGTGTCAGTCCCATTCACAGTCTTCAGCGCGAAGAAGTTCCCGGGTCTAACACAAAGCACACATCTGAGTCGGATCATCGCGGAGCAGGGCTGCCGTGTCCGTATTCGGCGCGATGTCCGTATGAGACGTCGCGGAGACAAGGGATCTGATGACTACGATTATGACGAGGATAGGATGATGAGCAGCCGGCGTGATCGCTATTCTACCCCCGACACTTATCCGACTCCAGCCGAGCGCCCACGGTCGACAAGCATTGGCACCGTTGATCAAGGCTATGGGCCTGAGGCCTCGCGCCGTCCTTCTGCGGCCGAATATGGTTTCCAGAACCCGCGACTCTACCAGCATCCTATTGCTCATGCTCCAGCTCCAACTACAGCATCCACTCCCTCTCCCGTTACTCCAGCTGCATTTGCAACGCAGAATCCTACGTATCAATCGCACCTATCATTCGGGTCGACGCAAGCTCAGTATTCCGCACCTCAGATACCAAGAAATCCGCCGTCCGGGTCAGTGCCAGCCACTGCCTACTCACCTCATCCGACGCACTCGCATTCTAGAAATCCATCGACCAGCACCGAGCATGAGAAAGATGCGCACCGGATCTACTTACCACCTATTCGGTTGGACCCATTACATCCAGCGCCGTCACCCACTGAATCACGTTCTTCCGATCCTCCCATGTATCCGGTAGTCGCTCAGCACACGACAGCTCACCCCTCACGCAGCGGCAACATTCTTCCGCCGATCAGTGCGATCTCCGGCGAGATCCCCATCAATATGCCTCGGCCCCAGAACAACACTACTTCCAGTCCTGTTCATGAAATAGCCCAGAACAAAAGGCTATTGTGGGACACCAACTCTGGACCGACATTCTCCAAGCGAACGCACGAAGAATCCTTCGGCCATGCCGAGCGCCCACTGCACAACGGCATGCGCCCTGATCGAGAGCCCACTCCTCCAATGGAGCGACGGCTTTCCGATGCCCGACGGGAGGCATCGTACAGCCTGTCCCGGGATGAGTTGGCATACAAGCGAGCCAACGGCAGGATGGTCACTAAAATCTCTCCGGCTATGATTCATCATGGACAGAGTTTATAGCAGGGCTTTCTCTGTTTCCGCAAATTTAGGGAACACTTCTTTATATAGGACGGCGTCTTGGCGAACCGGCCCGTCGGGATGACTTATAATTTTCTTTTAACTTAACGAGGATTTTGGAAGGGCAATTTGGTCCAAAAAGAGAAGGGTTTTTGAGGGAGTTCAATTCGATTCTATGTCATGACAGCAGACATGACGTCTATACCACAGTTTTATTTTTTGTTTCCGTCGACATTGTCTTTGTTGTTGTATATGATCCAACTTGGATTTCACACCATACATATTCCCCCTATGTTTATTGTTAATGTTTGCTTATGATTGCCAAGTGGGATGGTGTCACCCGTCAGCTAGGTTGAATCTCGTTTTTTTTTTTTTTTTTTTTTTGAAACATCAGGCCAGCCAGAAATGAATATAGCCATCAGAAGTACGCTGTCAGATATTCATGTATCCATTTATCATCCACGATTACCCACTTGGATACCATGTACTGCATGTACATGTCTTAGTGATTCAGTGAAGTAACTAGTGATGTTTGTGAAAGTTGTGGTATGCCAATAGCTTTACAGGAGGGGATCTATCTCATTGGGGCTATGCTACATTCCAGAACACAGGACTAGGTAGCCTACTAGTAATTAATTGATGAGACATTGAGACATTGAGACATTCATTCCTCTCGGACCATGGAAAATGAAGCATTGTCATCCCAGACACGGTGTGTGTGTGGATGGGCTTGGCACATGAGGGACTGATTGCCTTACCTTAAATGTAAACAAACCCGGAACGCCCGAGGTAAACAACAATAAAAACAACATTGTTGGTCACTTGCTAAAAACAATCCACTTTGTCCTCTCCTCGTCCTCGTCATTGCCGCCGCCGCCGCTGCCTTCTCTGCCTGACCGCTTCTTTTCTCTCCTCCACTTCTCTTCCCCTCTCCCCCTCTCCCCCGCGTGGTTTTCCCCGGGTTTCTATCGTTCTTTGCCCAGTAGATGATATCCTTCCAGGATCTCTGTTGACGGAAGAAGATAAGATCGACTGGACCTGCGCCTATCTGACTCTGGATCGATAGAGTAAAGTGTGAAGGTGTGCAAGCGACCGACCAACCGACCGATCGACCGACCGACGGTGCGAAAGTGGATGGATGAATTGTGAGCACGCAAGCGCAGTAAGGATGGCCGATCGCGCCCATGGACACTGCACGGTCGAGGTTAGTACCAAGTACCTCAAGTAAACCCCTCCCCCCTCCGTTTCCTCCCGCTCTCTTGCTTCCAGTCTGTCTTATGATTTCTATTCCACCCGCACCGTTCAAGCTTCTGTCCTGCCCGTGGCGCGCTTTCACCTCCCCTTGCGCCAGCGGGTGTGTCACCTCTGCCGTCGCGTTCACAGACATCCAGGATTGGACTGGTTTTCAACGAAGCTCTGAATCAAAATTAACGCTGTCAATCTGTCCAACATTCAGGCCTCGATCGATAACCGTCCGGAGGGGAAGGGTGTTGACGCGCTCGAGACCGATCGCCAGCTCGAACTATCGCTTCAGTCCATGTGCGCCGACCCCCACGTGGTCCACCAACATAAAAGCCCCCGTCGCAAACACGCGCGCACCATTGGTGACTCTACCGCCGATGAATCCGAATCCGAGTCGGACGATTCCGGTCGATTTGACGATGCCGAAGAGTCGAATTACCCCTCCCGCGTGCAGAGTAGATCCCCGTCCGTTCATTCAGCAAAGCGACGGCGTTCGAATGAGTGGCCTTTACAGTTGGAGAACGGCGGGGAACCTTCGATGCCGCAAGATAATGATGATCAACAACATCCTGTCCAAAGGGCTGCGGGTAGCAGCAACAAGACGGGCGGGCACCGGAAGCCGTTCCAGACTGCAGTGGGTAAGATCTCTCCACGGACGTCAATGGGATCCGGCCGGTTCGGTCGCCAGGCTGGTGCGTCCGGTCGGGGCCGACGATCGCGGTTCGTCGAGGGAACAATGAGCGACAGCGTGAGCGAGAAGCCACCGAGTATCTTCTTGCGCGATGATGCACGCCACGCGGGAAATGGTACGGGCCAGCAAAGGGGCTCGGGCATATTCCGGTTTGGAAAGGCGATTGCCTCCGCCTTCAATCCCTTCGGCGCTTGGGGGTGGAAAAGCAATGCTGAGGCCAACAAACAGCCGGACGATCCGCTTGCTCAGGCAGAGCGGGCCTACGCGGAGCTCAAGCGCTCCGGATACAAGGGTACAGTCAAGGGCAGCTATATACGGAGTTTGGACGGGGAGTCTGGAGTTCCTCCCAAGTCCTGGAATCCCATCCCAGAGCCAGCGACTTACCGGCCCATGGCGCATCATGCGAGACAGAACTCGGGAGAAGGGAACGAGTCCGGAGGGTCTATTCGATCCTCGTTCCAGGAGCTGCGCAAGGCCAAGTCATCCTTGGGCATTCCATACATTAAGCGCTTGGACTCGAACAAGCTTTCATCCGAGGAACAGCCGGAGGGCGCAGAAGTGCGACGACAGAAGTCGCGTAAAGAGCTTCAGCGACAGGCCAAGCTGATGAAGCGCGTGAGCGACCTGGAGCTCAAGTTACAACGGGCGCGTCGGGAACTGCACGACTTGGTTGGCGACGAGGAGGAAGAAGAAGTGCAGGCACCGACTCCCTTTCTCGACAAACCATACTCTCGCAAATTTGTCCCCGGCGCACTTCCCTCGCTCCCATCGGAGCGGTTGTTGCACGGTAATAGCCAGCCGACATCCCCGACTTCCTCTCGAGCCGTGTCGACACCTTTACTCTCCCTGGCGGAGAACATTCACCAGAATGAGCCTGTCGAATCGCAGCAGAAAACCACGCCAAGCAAACCTATAACCGGTACGCAGCAGCAACAACATGGTATGACACCACGAACACCTAAGGATCCCCAGCCCCAATCGTCTTTGACCGCAGACAGTCCCACACTCAAACGCAAGTCGCCAGACCCTGCATCTCTAAAAAAGATCCAGCCTGAATCGACGCAACATACAGACAACCGCCAATATTACGGAACAGCCGGTACACCCACTCTTCGTAAGCCCAAACTGCCGAAAATGGGCCCCGGCGACAGCCCCGGCTCCGTCGAGCGAAAGCATTCTGCTTCCAGTCGTTCCCCGAACACCCCCAGCGAGGAACGCGGCCGCAGACGCTCCACCCCCCTCCGATCATCACCCAGCAACCCTCGCTCGCCTTCAGCAGCGGCGGCGCGTAGACGCGCCTCAAATTCCAGGAACCGTGCCCCCCAGCCTCAGCCTAGCCTGCGGATGAAAAAGGGCCGCCCAGATCTGCGATCAGCCAGTGCGGGCGAGAGCCTAATGCTGCCTAGTCCGGGTAAGGCGGATGACCACGACAAGGAAAATCAGCAGGCGCAGCTGCAGCTGTATAGCAGCAGCGTCGCGGTGGTGAAGACGGATCAGTCCGAGGAGATGGCCATAACGACGACTCTGGCATCTGGGGAGGTAAGGACCAGCCCCAGTCCCAGTTCATCTCCGAGTAAAAAGAAGTCGGCTCGCTACGAGTACATCCCGCCTGTGCCACCGCTCCCGAAGAACCTGTCTGCCACCGCGGCGAAGGTAGACCGACGGCTGGCGAAGGAGATGGGCAAGAAGCGGGAGGCGCGGGATCGCGAAAAGGCGCAGGCACAGCCTCAACCCCAGCCCCAGCCCCAGCCCCAGCCCCAGCCCCAGCCCCAGCCCCAGTCGCCATTGGCACAGAAGCTTGAGATTGTGGGAGCGGGCAAGCGGTCGGGCTCGGGCGGCGCGCACAGCTTCCAATGGCCGGAAGATTTTTTCTGAGGCGCTTGTTAGCTTTGGCCATGAGGTTGTTGCGGTGGAGTTGATACCCCCGTTGCTTGATGTTTTGCATGTTTTGTCTTGGTGTATTTGTCTGCCGGTCATTGCCATGCACCAGTACAGTACATGACATGAGCCTCTGAGTCGCTCGGTCATGGAGAGACCCTTGCTTTCGTCTAGTATGGCGATGGAGATAAGGGCAGGATATCTGTTTTTCCTATGTCCAATTTCCTACTACTACTACTTTAATGAACGTAACGACGTGATGACTGCTGCCAATGAAAGAATCCTTGAGTTTCTCCTTCGTCAATTGCCCAGTGAGGAAATACTATCATCCCTCAGCGCATAGCTAATCCGCTAAGCATGTACCTCATTTTAGTATCCCTTGATTCCAAGGACAGACCCCCAAATTACAAGATCGCCGTAGCATTAGCATGCGATCCAACACCTCCTACACATACACATGATATCGTTAGCCAAGATCTCCCACCGTGGACCTCCTACCTCCCACATCCCCCAGAAGAATCACCCCCCAACCAGGACCCAAGCAAAACAAAAAAGAGGAACTCAGGAACTCACCAAAAACCATAGCCGGCGCACTCGTCACAAAGACGGTCCACCGGCCCAACTCCCGACACCGGCTCGCCAAGCGTTCCAAATCCCACATCTCCCCGATCATCATCCCCCAGCACGCGAGCAACTCCTGATGCATGAAGCCTTGCCCGCCATCACGGGTGGGCGGCCAGCACTCGAACGTCGGCGAGTCCCCCGCCACCGCGGCGAAGTAGCAGTCATGCAACCAGGTCAGCACGTCCTCGTCCTGCGCGACCCCGGCCCAGCGGAGGTCGGCGTGGGAGCGGCGCGCGGCGGCGGTGCGCTGCTGGGCCGGCAGGGTGTGGTACTGCTCGACGAAGCCGGAGCGGACGAGGAGGAGGTCGCCCGGTTGGACGTCGCCGCCTTGGGAGGCGGGGAGTGGGTTGATGCCTTGGGCGCGGGCGCAGGCGTGTAAGGCGGAGAGGGGGATGGGGTGGGAGGTGTAGGGGTCGTAGGGGTGTTCGGGGTGCGTGGTGCGGTGGTAGTGCCGGTAGTTGAGGAGGATGGCGCGGGTGGCGAGGCCGTGGGTGGAGAGGTGGTGGATGCTGCATTTGTGGGGGGAGGGGGAGGGGGATGTAGAGGTCGTGGAGGGAGGTTTGAAGTCGGTGGATTTGGCCTTGGAGGGATTGGTTAGTTGGATGTGTCCGTGTGTCTGGTTTGGAACTGTACAGTACGCACCCCGTTGTAGAAGAGTTTGGTGTCCAGGTGGGCGAACTATAGTCATCGGGATCGATCAACAGGTTAGCATATATGACAGGATCGTTGGATTTCAAGCCTCTAGCTTTAGGGAGAGGCCCGGTAACAGAGAGCAGCGTACATGGCGAAACCCATCCCACTGGGTGCCACTTTGCGTGTTCAGGGTGTAGGTATCGTCGTAGACCACGTCCTCGACGAGCTCCTTGATCTGATGCTGGAAGGGCTCGCGGTCGAAGGCCGGGGTCTCGGGGATATGCAATGGGAGACTGTTGCTGCATCAGCTTCTCTGCACAACAGAGCCACGTAGTTTGTAACTACGCCCTCTACGAGACGAGACAATAGCCACTGATTCAACAAAACTCACTCAAGTCGAATCATCTCCCCCAGCTTGATCTCCGCAGCAGCAGCTTTGACCCGAGCCGGCGTCAGCAGATTCAACCGTCCGAGCTACCAAGTAGACAAGGTCAGCTAGGAAATTCGACGTGCATTCTCCCCGAAGACGAAACAGCAACAGTACAGTACCTGATCATCCTTCCCCCAAACCCATGCCGCATCCTTCGGAGCCCCGGGGATCTTAGGCAGTTCCTTGCGCGTGGGGAACCGCGTGCAATTCGGATCCCAAGGGAGCTGATCCGGAACTTGGACACGTTCAGAAGTAGTAGTCATGTTGGTAGTACGATCACCCACGGCAGAGGTTGTTGGCGAAACGATATCCGAAACCTTCTTCAGTCGTTCATTGATATACCCCATGGCGGTAGTGTTGTGCTACCGTATATATACATTTCCCCGCTTGCTGGAATTGACTGACCGTGGCTCACGGTGGATTGAGTTTGTGGAACCGGCAAGACTTGAAGCCCCATTATACCCTCCGAATGGACTGGAACTGTCCCCCATTTATGAGTGCTTCTCAGGGCTGCTCCATATCACTGCTTCTTTCGGGTATGACGAGCGTTCTTGGCCGAGGCATATGGACGGCTCGTGAGGGGAACATTGCCGAATGAAACACAATCTTCAGGCGAGGAACACGAATGAGAATTGACCATCCCCGCGGTGAAGCGTTGATAATACCGATTCTAAGATTAATAATGACGCATGGTGGGGTGGGGGGGAGTGAATCTTGACCGTTGATGTCAGGGAGCATGGAAGGCCGGTGAGGGGAAGTTGGCCGGAGTATCCGTGCATCTACAAGCGAAGGAAGTACTCGTCACGAGACTACTCAAGAAAAACTGCTTGGTAGGCCAGAAGGCCTCCTTTTTCGGTCTTTTGATTTCATCATCAAGGATAATGTCTCATAGTATGATACAAAGATGGTCCACGCTCAATCATTGTCCGACGTAATCCACATCCACAACAGAGAGACTGGAGCAGCCAAGCGACATATCCAGAACCTCAGACATTGGTCCATGTGAGGTGACGATATCAAACACAATAGTAACAGACTTCCCCCGTCCAGAAGATCGCTGCAATGAGAGTTCGAGACCTCCTCATGCATGAGTATGAAGAACGCCAAATTTGACCCCAGATGTAACAGTAGCCATTCCAGCACATATTTTACCAAATCCACCATAACCCATAAGGATCCCAATCACAATCGAAAGCCATGACCTTCTGCACGTCAAGACCATGTATGTATTCATTGGATGCTCCATCAGACGCCAGGGATATCAGGAGAAACAAAAAAAGTAGTCGTGGACGGACATAAACCACTCCTCAGAGAAAAGAATAGCAACAATAATCGCTAAGCGCATGATACAATGAACTGCTGCTTGACAGTCATGAAAAGACAAAACCAAAGGGACGATTTAAATCTGCGTAGGCACACCGGTGGACTGAGGAGCATTGCGACCACCACGGAGACCGCCACGGCCACGAGAGTTGTATCCACGACCATAACCTCCGCGGCCACGGCCGTAGCCTCTTCCTCTGCCACGGCCCCGATAGCTGCCCCGATATCCATCGACGCTGCCCTGGCCAAAGGTCTCGATGTTCCGCTTCTCCTCCTCACCGCGCCACTCACGACCACCGGCACGAGCACCAGTGCCCTCTTCCCGGTCACGAGCCTCACTTGAGATGTTGTCAAAGAAGGAGGTAGCCCGGTTGTACGAATTGACGTTATCCGCACTAGGCTTATCGGCATATTCGTCCTCGCCTTCAGGGAAAGCAGCCTCGGCTTCATGCACCGGTGAGCCAGTGGCGATAGCCTCCTTCACCAGGTCCTGCTTGTTGAACTTGGCATTCGCGGTCTCGAAGTCGTAGTCGGTGTCAGGAACCTCAACCTTCTTCGCCTGGCCCTGATAAGGAGCGCGGTGACCACCACGTCCGCCCCGTGGGTGCGGGTGACCGCCGCGGGGAGCCCGGTTTCCCTCGTAAGGCTTCATCTCAGCGAGCTGCTTTGCCACAGCGTCCACAGACGCATCGCCATGACCCGGAGCCTTCTGTGCACTGGGCTGGGGCAATTTAGCCATGGCAGCCGCAACAGCAGCAGTGGCAGCACGAGTGGCTTCAGTAATTGCCGCCTGAGCAGCAGTACCTTGCGACACATTGTTTCCCACACCAGCACCGGGGTAAGGGCCTACAGCTGGGACTGGCGGCTTAGAGTGCGTAGCAATCGGGATGGCCGGCTGCACACGTCCGCTCCTGGGTCCGGTGGGTGGTATCTTGGATGCAACCGGAAGCGCCGCCGCCGCCGCGGGAATACTGGAGGCTTGTACGGCTTCCGTTACGGAAGGTTTCGATTCAACAGGGGGTGGAGGAGGGTTCTGACCAGCAGCAGGTGCAGGCGTGGCATTCCGGCTGGCGGGCTTACTGGAGGGCCGTTCACCAACGGGAAGCTCGGAGGTGGCTTTAGGAACGTTTACAGGGCCCGCACCAGGCGCCCCCTGACGCTGTGGCGGAGGGGTCTGGTGTTGACCAGGGGGTCCAATAGGCATCTGATGAGGGGGAAACTGGCCTGGTCCTTGAGGGAATCCTTGACCCGGGGGAGGGTACCATCCTGGGGGAGGAGCTCCGTACGGCATATTAGGGAATCCGGGCCCAGGAGGGAAACCAGGAGCCCCAAAGCGCTGCCCATAGGGAGGGTAGAAGCCCTGGAACTGAGGTTGCTGGGGATAGCCAGGAGCGGGACGAGGAGGTTGCTGTGCTTGGGAGTGAGGAGGAATGCCTTGAGGACCTGGACCAGGACGAGACATGCTCTACACCAATTGACACGTTAGCATCTTGCATCACAGAGAAGTGTTTTCTTGTGCAAAGGCCAAGGGTAAGGTGTTTTGATCTTGTCAGAAGGAAGGCAACGGAAAAATCCACACGGTTTTGCGCATTCAGAACAGGTCTGTGAGTTTACATCCGAAATATTTCATCATAAGATCGAGTGTCCAATGGACACCAACACCAGAGGTGATGAGGGGCGGGGAGAGTGGAGAGTGTGGTGAGCAAACTTACCCCCAGGATGGCAGGATCATCAGGGACCTGAGGAGGCTCAGATGGTGCATTTTCCTTCTTGTCCTCCGCTACGCTAATGTCTTTTACGTCGCTGCCCCGGAAGACAATGTATTCATAAACACTGGCAGACGGGGCGATCTCTTCAGCTGGGTTGCCTCGACGGCCCTCAGTTCCAAAAGAGACGACATTCTCCAGAGCTATTGTGGACGCTTCAGGGTTGATCTCATGCAAGGTTCCAACATAGCTAGCGGGGGGAGATGTCAGCACGAACAGTCATTGGCAATGACTCCGAGGGCAATGGACGCGAGCACGGAGCTGAAGCCGAAGCAGGAAGCTTCAGAAGGGTTGGAAAGGTGGCACATACCGAATGTCACTCTTGGAGATCAGGTTGAACCGCTGACTGCCAGGTGTTAACTCCCGCCTAGCCGCACAAACCCTGGATCACACCAGTAGGTAGGCATAGAAGACTGACCCTATTAAATGGTTCATATCCATGCTGAGAGGGAGAGTTGCGCGATTGACGCGCAGAAAAAGAGAGAAAGAAACAAGGGGAAGAAAGAGGGAGAAGTGAAGATATAGGAAAATTGGGGAAGAGAGAGAAGGGCAGAGAAGTGAAAGGAAGGAGGAAGAGGAAAGGTCGAAATAGAAAGACGGAAGAAGCCGGTTTTGTGGGTGGGAAGAGCTGGGGCTCCGGTGAGCGTGAGAAGCTCACCGCGCAGTTCCTTCGCCAGTTTTGCCCAAAAGGAACCACGTGAGGGCGGGGACGGGACCGAAAGTTGCTTGCTTGCTGGAGCTTAGTCATGATACCGTGGGTCGGGACTCGGTGATGATGATGATGATGATGATGATCACAATCACAAAAACTCAATTGATTACAACCAGTGTTTTCCTCTCATCTGATACCTTTCACAAGCTTCACAATGGCGCAATCGAGCCATCGCGATGACTTCTTTCAGACTACGTTCGTTTCCTTATCGCTGCCCAGCTGCAGTTCGCATGCACCTCGCTGATTCCTTCCGGCTGCAGAGCTTCCCTTGATGAGCAAAAACGCAAGGATGCCAAGTCACAAAATACCAACGGAAACCCTATTCGGCTCCAGAGTAAGATTCTGGCCGTCGCTGCTGATCCCTTAAACGCAAACGCTGTCTTCGTGGCTCAGAGTGGTGGAACAGTGCGCAAGGTCATACTCGAAGTAGGTGCACGGCACAGCCGTTTTGCGAGGACTGTGGCTAAATTATGGGGATCTGTCCTTGGGTATCTGTGTTAGACCGGAGAAACCGCAGCCATCTACAAGGGCCCAACCGCACCGATTACGAGCTTATGCTTTTCACCCAATGGTCGCCTGTTATTCGCTGGGTGCTGGGATAAGACGGTCTGGAGTTGGGATGTAACTACAAAGGAACGCAAGCTGCGATATGAAGGCCACACGGATTTTGTCCGGTCCGTCATCAGCACGAGACTACGTGGGCAAGATGTTCTGGTTTCGGGTGGCGCCGATGCGCAAATAATAGTTTTCGACATCGCGACTGGGCAACGATTGGCCGTGCTGAAGGGCCACGCCAAGGGGATTCAAGATTTGGCCTTTGATCCTATCTCGCTGGACTCGGATAGCCCAGACCCGATTGTATTCAGTGCCGGAAGCGACAGAGAGATTCGCCAATTCGACATCTCTAAGGGCAGCCAAGATCAAACCGGTACCGCTGCAATCCTGGCTCACGAGACCAACGTGCACAAACTGTTCTTCGACCAGGATGCCGATTTGTGGACTGCTTCAGCCGACAAGACTACCAAGTGCTTGAGTCGAGATGATGGCTGGAAACCCAACACAACCCTGGATCATCCCGACTATGTTCGTGATGTGGTGGTTTATGAGCAAGGTGGGTGGGTGGTCACAGCGTGCCGTGATGAAGAGGTGCGCGTATGGAATCGATCGGTAGGTCTATACTCCTCTGCGATTGCTGCGTTGACTGGACTTCTGCTAACCGCAACGAAACAGACCGGACAACTCTACCATACCTTCTCTGGACATTACGAAGAAGTGACAGGGCTAGTACTCGTGGGTGCAACAGTCGTCAGTGTCAGTATTGATGCTACTATCCGACAGTGGTCTCTGAAGCCCGATGAGCTTCAGACGGCAGTAGCCATGGCACAAAAGACCTCGACCGAGGATGAAGAGCAGCCCACCAACTCCGGGTCGATGCTAACGGAAGAGGAGGAGCGGGAGCTGG